TTATCGTCCTTAGGTATGCTACAACATTAAATTAATGAATGCTACCATAATCCTTGACTTCAGTTCATCTTTGTTGTTACAAGGATTTCTTTGGGTTCCCTCTGTCTCCCAGCTCCAACTCGCACATAATAATTAAGGGGATTGCAGTCTGGGGAGTTAGGTGGCCCAATGTATAGGTTGATGTGGTCGCAGAAATTTTCTGACAGCCATGACTAGAGTCAACGCCTTCATGCCATGAGATTTGCCAGCAAGTAGTCCCATATATGCAAGGAGTTACTTTTGTCTCAATTTAAATCTGTAACAAGGACGAATTTTATGAGGGATATCCGAGTCCGTAGGCTCGGGCCGAAATTCCCTGTAGACCTAGTATAAAATCGGGTCGGGAAGCTGTTTCCCAACACGAGACTCTGACCTTCGACATAGCCTCGTCTGGGAATGCTCTCTGACTGGAGACGAATCTACAACTGCAGACCAACATATAGTATTTACTACTGTATTTATGTGAATGGGGACATACCCATTATCGTCCTTAGGTATGCTACAACATTAAATTAGTGAATGCTACCATAATCCTTGACTTCAGTTCATCTTTGTTGTTACAAGGAGTTTTTTGGGCTCCCTCTGTCTCTCTCTCAGCTCCGCCTCGCACATAATAGTTAAGGGTATTGCAGTCTGGGGAGTTAGGTGGCCCGATGTATAGGTTGATGTGGTCGCAGAAATTTTCTGACAGCCACGACTGGGATCTACTCCTTGTGTGGAATGGTGCAGAGTCCTTTTGCCAGACATAGGGTCTTCCAACAGTCATGATCTTGACTCAGAACAAGGCGCTTGATATAGGCCTCCGTGTTGAGTCTGAGGTCGTACTGGAGCTCCTGGTGCGAATGTCAAGTGGTATAGCATACCGTTTCCAAATTACTGGCGGAGTGAATTGCGTCATGGTGCTCTTTTTTTCTCGCAGAGGATGCCCAAGTGACCTAACTATATTGTGCAATCGACAAAATCAAAAGCAAACAACGCAGATATTGGCCCATACTGTCATGTCTGGTTTTATTGCCAAACCGGGTTTTTTTATTATTATTATTATTATTATTATTATTATTATTATGTAATGTTATTTTATTGGTTAAAATCACGGAAACGAATGTTCAAATCTGCCTCCCCAAATTCGTAAAAACTCCATAATAAAAAAAACAAAAAAAAAACTGTCCATTCTTGGAGTGGTTTTCTCATTTTTTATAAATAAAATATATTAATAGGACCCGCCCACCCGACAGAAAAATAAGAGCAGCCGCTGTATTTTGCCAATGAACAGAATCAATAATCTCGCTCACAAGAGTAGAGGGAAGGACAAAATAAATTACGGAGTGGGAAAAGGATAGTCACGATAATAAATGTTGAAAACCCGCCTCTTCAAATTTATAGACAATTTTCTACAGATGCATGCTGGGATTTATTCCTAGCCAATAAAAAAAAAATGGACAATTCTCATCAAGAACATATATTCATTCTTTCTTATCAGAAATATTTCTTATGTCATGGATATTTTAGTAGAATAAATCTAAATATAACTTGATCGATGGCTTAGCGAGGACCAGATGTAAATACGCTAATTTGATATCTCGTGTGAGATGTGACCCCCCCCCTTAAAATGTATATGGGTCTGATAGAGAATAGATATCAAGGCTTCGTTTCTGTTGTCTCTTTTTTTGATTTCTTTCATTTTAGAGCCTTTGACTATTTCACTTAGAAGTGACAATTCTCCTCGTAGTTTATTTATTTTACTTTCTATCTTTTCTTTCCAGGCTGGCATTTTTCTTTCTCGTTTACGATGTGTTTTTACTTTTTCATCTCTTGTTTTTACGATCGTTGCCGAGGCTGCGTATATATGATGGTTAATTTCTCTCAGGTTCATAGGTCTTTCTATTTCGTCCATTTTTTTTTTTTTGATTGTTTGCTTAACGAGGTTGATGGTTTCCTTCACTTGACGATTCGTTCTTACTTCTGAAACTATTATTATTATTATTATTATTATTATTATGTAATGCTATTTTATTGGTTACAATTACAGGAATGAATGACAAAATCCCGTTTCCCAAACATATTCTTTCTTACCAGGAATATTTCTTATGTCATGCATGTTTTTGTAGGATCTTTACATTTTTGGTAGGCAGGTGATGAGCCTATAGTTCTTCGGGTTCTCCGTCTCTTCTGCCTTTGGGAGTAGGTCTGTACGTGAGCCATTTGAGGCATTTATTCTTTATGTCAAGGCTTCGTTTCAATTGTCTCCATTTTCTTTCTTTCATTTTGGACATCTTGTCTACTTAACTTAGAAGTGACATTGTCCTCATAATTTATTTGTTTCAGTTTCTATATTTTCTTTCCAGATTGGCATTTTTTTCTTTCTCGTTTACGATGTGCTTTTAATTTTTCATCTCTTGTTTCTGTGATCATTACCGAGGGTGCGTATATATGATGATTATTTTCCCTCCGGTTCATAGGTCTTTCCATTTCGTCGCTTATTTTTCTAATTGCTTGGTTAGCGAGGTTCATGGTTTCTTTCACTTGACAATTCTTTCTTACTTCTGAAACTATTATTATTATTATTATTATTATTTATTTCCTTTGATTTCTGGCGTTTAAACATTTCTTTCCTGGTCCCGCCCAGGGACCTAAGGTTAGAAATGGCATCATGACACTTTCCACTGACAAAAAAAAAAAAAATTACATAGATAAAGCCCCTCGTAAAGTGTAGGCTGTACTTGTGAGAACAATTTTTTGTATTTCTTTGAGGCATGGGCTTCCAGGAATCCCTTCAATTAGTCTACTGGAATCTTTTCCAACCAATCCTAGGGCTCCAACTACAACAGGGATTGTTGATGTTCCCATGTGCCACATTTTTGAGATTTCAATTTTATGCTCCTTGTATTTTGACAGCTTTTTCAATATTTTCAAAGATACATTACAGTCTGCAGGGACTGCCATATCAATAAGGACGCACATTTTTTTGTTTGTGGTCTTTAATAACAATCTCTGGGCGGTTGACTTTGATTGTTGTAACTGTCTTTTCTACAAATACTTTCATGGTAATTGCTCCAATGAGCTGCTTTCACTGGTTCCCAGACTCCATGAATTCAAGCGCCCTACGAGGCTGGCTCCCACCCTTACACTGTAGAAACTTTTAAATGTAGCCGTCTCTTCTACTCCATAGCTTAATACCTCGCACCTCTCGCCTGTGGAACACCCTTCCCAATTACTGTTTCCCTGAGAGCTATAATCTCCAACTATTCAAATGTAATGTCAATCGACATCTCCAGTTACCTTGATCTACCCACTATCCTTCTCCTCATCCTTTCTTCTATCTCTCCTATCTGCTCTCGCTCCAAATCTTCTGCAACCCCCTGCATCCTAGTTGCTTCACGCCTTGCTCGGGGCGTAATGCTTAAAAGAAAAGGTCCTATCTCCGTAACCGGGTCTGGGTGGTGTTCATACCAGTTTCTTTCAGTTTCCTTCCCGTAGAAGTTGCAGATTTTCCAGTGCAGATATTGGCCCACTCTGTCATGCCGGCTTTTATATTCAGTGGGTGCCAATATCGTGCAGCCTGATACAAGATGATCAATCGTTTCTGGATATTTATCACAGAATCTGCTGACACAATATTTTAGTATATGTGCTTGATAATTCCTAGTTAGCAAACATTGGTCTTGTGCAGCAAGGATAAAACCTTCAGTTTCAGCTTTCAACCCTGCACTACGTAGCCACTGATGGGTACGGGTTCTGTCTACATCAGCTTGTTTGGTACGGGCAGAGTATTGGCCATAAAGCGGTTTATCTTTCCATTGCTTCTGTATCTGGTTGGTTGCATTCGTCTTTGCTGTCTTTTTAAGTATTTTGCAGTTTCAGCCAGTGTATTGTGTTTATAATTATTATTAATATTATTATTAGTAGTAGTAGTATTAGTAGCGTCGCTGAGGATTATCGATACAAGGTATCGGAGACTTTCACAGAATCTGCATTTTGGGCTAACACAATATTTTAGTATATGTGCTTGATAATTTCTAGTTATTATTATTATTATTATTATTATTATGTAATGTTATTTTGTTGTTTAAAATTAGCAAAATGAATACCAAAATCCCGACTCCCCAACACATATTCATTCTTTCTTACCAAAGATATTTCTTATTTCATAGATGTTTTAGTAGGATCCCTGTGAATATGCCGTATTGTGGTATATATTGGATTGAATTGTGATGGATGAGTTCTTGTGGTGTTTGAGACAATTGTAAGAATGAATGGGTCGAGAATCAGATTAGCTTGGTGTCGGATAGTCAGTGATGACCAACCCTTCCTCACTTCCCCTTTGGCCTTGTGCCACAATTGTATTTTTAAATACAATAAATAAAATATCTTACCAGGAAGAAACACCGTTTTTTCCCTTGTTAATGTACTATAGTTGCTTTGCTTTGCCTTTCCTTGTATTATATTCCCTTGTCTCGTATTATTTTGGCCTGCTCGCCATCTTCTTATTGCTATTAAGAATTTCCCACTTAATAAACTTGCTTCCTCTGGTTATTTCATTCATTTTACGGATCTAAATTAATTGAGTGACTGATTTGTTAAACCCTTTATAGGTTATTTAAAGCCCGAAAATATGTTTAGACTGTAAGAATCTTTTTGGGTGAAGATGTTAACAATTTACTGATGCAAATCATACTAATTAACCCATAATTGGGGGGAGAAGAAAGTATTTCCTTGTAAGTGAATACAACAAGGCCAACTGGAATTAGAACTCGACTCTGCGATTTCCAGTTTCCAATATCGAGGCGTTATCTATTACACCATCCGCACATCCAACCAAGCTTAAAGCGACCGGTACTTCCAGGTGGATACCCATCTATCTACTGACCAAGCTCGTGGGATTCTTAACTCTGATGATCGTAAGAGAACCGGTTTGAAAGTGATGTAGCCGTAAGCGATATCACGTTACACGTCTAAGCTTAAGCACTTGGTATTCCTAAGTGATCACTCATGTAGGTACTGACCAGGCTCGACGTTGCTTAACTTCGTTACTCGTACGAGAAACGGTGTTTTAACGGGATATGACCGCAAGTCATATTACCTGAACAATCCAAACATACAACACCTGGAGTTGCCAATCGTTCGCCCAAGTAGGTATTGACCAGACCCGACGTTGCTTAACTTATGTGATTGTACCAGAAACGGTCAGAATTTTGCCGTAGGCTTTGTGGATCTGGAGTTAAGTAAAAAGAATTATTATTATTCGAAAGGAAAGAAAAGATTACTGCGTTTGTGTGTGTGTGTGTGTGTGTGTTTGTATGGATGCGTATGCGTGTGTATATCTGTGTATGTGCGCGTGAACGTTTGTTTATTTGTGTGTGTGTGTGTGTGTGTGTGTGTGTGTGTGTGTGTGTGTGTGTGTGTGTGTTCGGTAGGAATTGGATTCCCTCCAAGTAACAATTGATTTGGCTCCATGCCATTGTCTTTTACGTCGTCTTGGAAGAATTATTCCACCTTGTCGTTTTGGCCCTGAAATGTCTACAGAATAAAACGAAATCATTGCCGTCCGAATCTTTTCATTGAGATTTAGCGCTGCAAGATACTGCCTTGTTGGATATCGCTCTTGACAGTATCGCTAGAAAACGAATAATTCCACGTGTGATAGAAATTCAGTGCGGCCACTGAGTGGCTGCCGGCCTCGCCGACAATGCCAAGTCCTTGTTTCACATGGTGTGCGCCAATCCCACGCCCGAGTGCAGCCTAAAGTAAAATCCGTAAAATCTTTTTTCAGAAATTACCACGCATGAGTCTAAGATGAAGTCCAACATTTTATGTTAATCAACCTTTTTCGCATAGTATGTTTTCCGAACTGAATGTTTTCTCCTTGTGTATCTGTAATGTTTCAAACGATTGATATAAATACATTCCAACTGGGATGTGACTCGCCATCCTTTTGTTAAACTGGTGCAATAGCCAATGACGGACAAAGGATAAATGAGGCTGTATATATTTACACAGAATTACACACACACACAGGCACGCACACACACACACACACATATATATATATATATATATATATATATATATATATATATATATATATATATATATATATATGAAGAAATATACTTAAGGTGTGCTATATCTATGGGATTAAGTGCTCAATATCAGAGATAGAGCGTGTGTAAATATGAAAGTGAACATAGAAGTCAACACATAGAGTCGACAGTCTGTTAGTTTATCTCATCAAATGACCCGATAGGCCAGCAACAGTCTGTTTCATGCTTAAAGGCAATCTTCAGGCCATGTGTGTAGTTTTGGCGCCGCTATTTATATATGCTGGTCAATAGTACATTATTGGTAGGTATAATAAACAAATTAACAAACTACGAAAGCAATTGTGATGGTAGCCAACAAGATATAATTAAGTAATCAGTATGGAGTAAAATGTTTAACAGACAACCACTTCACAATAGCTACAGATAACTGCATTCGTATACACAATTATTTCATCTAAATAGCCTCTACAAAAATTTGAAAAATATCCGCTACTGCTCGCATAATAACCGGTAGAATATACAAAATACCTACCCATAATGCACCATTGAACAGCATATATAGATAGTCGCGCCAGAGCATTACACACATGGCTTGAAGATTATGTTTAAGCATGAAACAGACTGTCGCCTCTGGTTGTTGACCTCAGCTGTCAATTTATATTTACATACGTACTATTCCGGATAAAATATTGCATATTGTAAGACTATATTTCTACCATCTCTCTCTCTCTCTCTCTCTCTCTCTCTCTCTATATATATATATATATATATATATATATACACACACATATATATATATATATATATATATATATATATATAAAATATATATATAATTTTTGGAGTAATACCAAAATACACACACATACACACACACACACACACACACACACACACACACACATATATATATATATATATAGAAAGAGAGAGAGAGAGAGAGATTTTATTAATCTGACAATTATTTATTGCTTTAAACGTTACTTTCAGTTATATTAGTATTAGACTAGACGTTCCGTTTATTTATTAAACGATATATTTATTTATTTACATCTACCGGACTGAATTTCTGTCGGTTTAATAAATAAATGGGGCGTCTACTCAAATACGAGTACCCAGTACAAATAACGTTTTTATTGATAAAATATGTAGGATTATTAAAAAATATATTCTGAAATTCTCCCTAGATAGGAAACTGTGTATCTCGGCAATAATCCCTCTTTTATACATGTTTCATTAAAGACAACTGACAAGCTGCTGTGATTAATTTTTTGTTTAATTTTTCCTGTGTTTTCTTTCCTGGATACAAAGTGTGTAACAAGTGTGCAAAAGTTCTGCACCTCCGAGCGCTTTCGGCTATTCTTTTGGTCACGGAGGATTTTAATTTTTTATTTTTATGTAAATGTATGGGGTTTTATGTAAGTGTCTAAAGTTATAGGAATGTTTTGTTTTCCAAACAGGGTGAGTACATGTAGTGATCTAAGAAGCATGATCTTCAGCAAAACAGTAGTTCATTGGAAGACGTGGCTCGAGTGGGAGTTACATCTCACCAATAAAATGGGAAGGGAATGAGGGTGGTTCTCTATAATAGGCGTGGCATGACGGGTCTTAAAATGGCGGAACTAAGGAATGTATTTCGTCTGAACACTTTTTATGGGAATATCGATAGAGCAGCAAGAGGCTTGCTACGTTTCGTCTGTGAGAAAGAGTTTGGAGGGTGGAAATAATTCATCACCCACAAGTACGCGGAGACACTTTTGGTCTCATTCGAGACTGGAATGTGAAGACTGTACATTCCCGGTCCATATATGGCAGAAGTACTTCATTTTCGACCTGATCTGGATCTTATACTCGTATAGAATAGCGGAAGGAGTCAGGTACTTTCGGGATTGGTACAGGGAACCAGCCATTTTTCCAGCATCTTTAGCGATGGATTATATGAAGGTGTTGAATTTGAGGTCTAGGCTGAGTTGAAGTCCTAACAGACTTGAGAACTCGACCCAGACCTCAACGCCCTCCCTGAGAGAGAACCCGTTTATCGCGATTGATGAAAATTCACTATTGGTTCTGTTTGGTTTTTGAGGAATTGAATGAGACCAGTTATCCCCCCCCATTTAAACCGCGTTCAGAAGAGAGATCAGTGGCCACGTTCTGATCATCTAGTTTTTGGGGAGGTGCACTCATATACCGTTGTATTATCAGCATAAATATAGAGTCTACTCTTTGGCAGACCATTTAAGTAATATAGAAAGTGGGTTGGACGGAGAAACGAACGTTGGGGGTAAAGGAAGCCCCCTTTCCTTATTATGTACCCTAGAAATATCATCTCTATCTTCTTGAAGGCTACGTATGTGTATATTTTATTTAGATTTTCTCTTTTCGTCGTTGCTCATATATTCGACCCATGTTATTCTCAGCAGCCTCCTGTAGCTACACGTTTCTATTGCTTCAAGTCTATTTTGCATCTGTGAGGAGATTGGTCAGCATTCACTGCCATATACGAGGACTCATACTGCGTAACATTTAATTACACTTATTGGAATGTTCTGTGATGTTAAATAATGATGATGCTCACTCATTGTAACTTTCCGTTAGGTCAACGAATGCTCGTAATCACTTCCGAAATTCTCATTGTAGACGAGACTTTGTAAATACAGATACTGGCAGTATAATAAATAAATAATACTCGTACTAGTAATACTTGTTCAAATAGTAATCGCCAAATAGTAATTTGTATAATGATCAGTATAAAGAAATAGTCTAGTGGATAGTATAGAGAATAGCGACCACTTAGACGCCACGCTAATTCCCATTCATACATTTCCTTTACGATCATGTGATCTACTTATTTAATAATGGAATCGTCCGTGTTTGCTCACTGGTGATCTGTGTTCAAACTGCAGTGTCGGCAACGACACTTTATTCCTATACAAGTGAATATAAAGAGATGGTAAGAGAACGAGTGAGCCTGTCGTGTCAAACTTGTTTCGAAAAATATTTTACATCTGCTTGGCAGAAAAGCTTCACTGTCAACGGCTAGGAGGCACCATCTATAAAATAAATAAATAAATAAATAAAACAATTAAACGTTTAGTTAGAATTGCGAAAGTTAATTTTACAATATTTATTGGATTGCCGTTCAAAATCATTGTGATTAGCGAATCTAAACATTCTCCATAATGGTGGTTTAAGGACAAGTCAAAAAATAACGATGATTTTACTGTCGACACTTGTTAAATACGACTTGCTTATTCTATCTGTTTCTTTTTAATTATTTCACTGCAAACAGGGCATAAAATCTGTTGTGAACTATAATATTTAATATAATATTTTATTTAATGATTCAAATTAACAAAAAAAAAATCAATTGAATTGAGTTCATGTTATGGTCCAGGTTAGGACCAAGGAAGAACAAAATAGAAATAACGAAGGTATATTACACGAAATAATAATACAAGATGTGGAAGGTGTTAGTATGACTGTCAGTCTGTTTTGGAGTGAACTACTATCGGCTCGACTCGATTCACACTGTTATGTTCCAGGTTAGGACCAAGGAAGAACAACACGAACACAAGAGTAGAAATAACGAAGGTATATTACACGAAATAATAATACAAGGTGTGGGAGGTGTTAGTATGACTGTCAGTCTGGTTTGGAGTGAACTACTATCGGCTCGACTCGATTCGACCCCCTCTCTTGAGAGCCGTAGTGTACATAGTGTTAGGAAGAGTTCATTCTGTAGTTATAGGTAAGGACCCATGACAGGTCGAGAAACATGCGTAAGCTGAAAGCTTGAGAATTGCTTAAAGAAGGAAAGAAATGTCATTTCCAAACCAGAGGGTATTTATTCTGAACAATACAGAATTGTGGCACAAGACCAAGAAGGAAATGGGAGATGGTCTTCATTAGCTATCCTAATCCTAGTTAATCCGACTCACGACCCATTCAGTCAGAACAATTTTCTCATACACCACAAGAACTCATCCATCACCTCTCAATCCTGCATATACCAAAATACCACATATTCAC